AAAGTAGGAATGTTTATTCAACCTTTGAATGATTAAACAACAGCAAATGAATGTGATAGATTGTAATTTTTTACCAAAGATTTTACCGTGTCTTTTAGTCCAGATTATGGCTATCTAACACCATGTGCTGTATCCGGCAACTGGTGAATCGATGCAGTTGTAACCTGCCGATGGTAGTAACTGTGGTCGTGAAGGCACCACAGCGAGCAGTGAAAGGAAGACGATTAGGATGCAAAGGAATTTAATTTTCATCAGGCACAACAGATACGAGTTCCACTGAAAATTAAATTTTATGTAACAGTAAGAAACGTGTTTGGCAAACAGTTCAGCAAAAGTTAAATCTTCATTGGTCAGATAAATTTGTTGCCATTGCCTAGCTAGAAGTAGAAAGATTTCGCACGTCATAGATCAACAGGTCCTAGGGTGAGGGTGATAATATTCAACGAAATGTCGAGTACAATGCTATAGCAAACTGTCGCAATTAACATTCAATTACTGAGGAAGAAATTTTGTAACTTTAAAATCGCAAAGTTTTGTTTAAACGGAAAAAGAAGAATTGTAAAGCATTAAATCACAGTATACCAGGAAACCTAATTAGGAGGTTAATTAAGGCTATAGGAGTTTTTTGCCTACTACAGTTTTCTAGAGCGATATCGATGTCCATTAGAATTATTTCAACAGGAGCAGTTCGGTGACGATAAACAGAGGAGAGCCGTCAATTAGTGGGACGTCAAATGTTTCCCATATCAGGTCAAATAGTCTCAAGATGATAATGATTTGACGTTACAAAACAGTTAAAGAAACGCGTATAGTACTAAATTAAATCGTATATTTGCTACAGTGAGACATTCACAGAGGCTGCCGATAATATTTTGCTCTATATTTTTTGAACGATTGAAGAGAAGGAAGAATGAAAGCTTTTAAAAGCATTTAGTTGAGCAGGTCTGATTTACTGGTCAAAATCCATCGGCGTTCGCTCATCTTTGATAGTGTTTTTAAAGGGTTTTCTATGATTTGATGTTTTACTTGTTTTTTTTTTCTTCTAAAATTTTAATGGAAGGAGTCAGAATTTTAAAGATTAATTGCCCGAATAAGATTGGCAGCCTGTATCGGAACTGATGCCAAGAAATTCTTGACCACCTTCATCGTCGGCAACGCTTTTCACTACGAACTAGTAAGTTTGCGAAACTATGGTAGTTGGGTTATAGACTTGATTTGACAGAGGACGTAATTGTATTCCGAAGTGTAAGTTTAACTGTTGCTTACGAAGTGTCCATGATAGAAGTGAGGCTACAGGTCATCAGTCACTATGTCAGAAAACCTTTTTTAATAAACGCCGGTAGTCTCGTTACCCAGAATTGTTTTAATTGATGCCACAAGAAGATATAAAAAAGTTTATTTGTCTGAATCACAACTATTTGGAATTTCAGACACTGAACAGTGCTCCTGATGTTAAATAATTTTTCACTTTTCTAATGGTCGTTGATTATGATGAAAACAGAAACACTAAATAAGCAGTAGCAGTATCCAAAGATTATAAAATATTTGAACTCTTCAGGCAAGCTTTGTAAATTGTCATAAATTCTTCCGCTAAAATGGTACGTGTAATATGGGACAATGATCTTTACAATGGTATAAAAAATGAACTTTGTTTTTAGAATGTAGAAACGATGTATTCACGATGCATTTGGGCTGAGCTTTTTTCTTGCTCTCTTTCTGCTACTGACCTCAAATTTGAAACAGAAATTTTGCTAAAAACTTATTGATAGGTGAAGTATTAAAATAAATTTTAAGATATATTTTACTTGATTTGAGTAAGGTTTATAGGTTATAATGCTATTTGTTAATACTTTGGTGAGTTTTTTTTTTTATTGCTGTTTTCAGTTTCTTGATGACAAAGATTTTTAAATTGCCCTGTTTAATGCACTATTTTTGTTTCGGCCATTTATTAAAAACGGTGATGTATTCTGTGTGTTACAGTTGTCGTCGTTGCCGTCGCAGAAAGTTTATTCTATGAAAAGAATATCTTAAGAAACGTTGCATCTAGGTACACTTAAAGAATTACACAGTCCGAACAAGTTTTTCAGAAAAAATGAACAACTTTTTGTTAAGAAAAAAAAACACAAGAAATGAAAATAACTACAGCTCTTTTTTCTCGTTTTTTTTTTTTTCCAGCTGTTTCTTTCTTAAAAAATGCTGTTCCGTTTCGTAGCAACTACGTGAACGACTGACGATAGCTATATAGGAAGACATTTTGCTTTAAGAAAGACTTAGTTTGTTTTGTAGAAAAAAAAGGGAATTTTAGTCCAAGATATACAATTCTCAAGTTTTTCTTCTGATTTTTCAATTCTTTAAAACATCAGTAAACAAGTATAGGACAAGTACTGTTCTTTGAGTAAATGTTATTGAGAAAAATTTCTCTTTGTTTGTAATAACGTAGATTTTTGACAATGGTTCGTTTTGGTTTTTCAATTTTTTTTTTACAAAAAGATCAAAACCTAAATTTAACAACATCTTCTGTTAAAAAATCAGCAAAAAAATTTTCAGTTAAAAAATAAGAAACTGGAAAAGATTTACTATGTAATAAAGGTAGAAATTCAGAAAAGAAGATTTCATCTTGAAATTGTCGAAAATTGGTAACAACACCTAATATTTCTGTCAGCTGTTTATTGATAACTGACAACGCTATAGACAGTATTGTTGTTATGATAGTGATATTTGGACTGTCGTATAACAGATAAGCTTTGAAACCTGTGTTGTAGAGTTTGCTGTTTTTCTTTTTTTTGTGTGATACTATAATTGTGTATTACTTTAATCGGTTACTAATTGCTATACATAATTCTGGCATATACATATAATAACAATGAGTGGAACGAAAAGAACGATACTGAATTAGATAGAATACCGGCAACAATAGACAGCAACTATGATGACAACAATAACTTTAACTAACAACAATGATATGGCATAAATGTAATTTATAGCCTCACTAAAGGCTACTTCATCTAATAACCACTGATATATTGAGTCTCATCAAAACGAAGAGACAGGTTAAAAAAGTTTAAGCATTATGACTATTGATAAATAATAATTAGTTGAATAACGCTTCTTCTGAATAGATGCAATAAAGAAGTCGCCAATACCAAATATTATGCTAAAATAACAAAATATTTAAGTTTAACAATACAACATAAATCTTATTTGTAACGTTGATATATAGGAAAAAGAAAGAGAACTTACCAGTTTATGTACAGATGATTATGGTTGCAAAATTTACTGCTCTTAACACCATGTGCTGTATCCGGCAACTGGAGAATCGATGCAGTTGTAACCTGCCGATGGTAGTAACTGTGGTCGTGAAAGTACCACAGCGAGCAGTGAAAGGAAAACGATAAGGATGCAAAGGAATTTAATATCCATTAGGCGCAATTGGTAAGAATTTCACTAAAAAAAAAAAAAAAAAATCATAGCAATAAACCAGTCAAAATTTGTTCAAATGATCGATAACTCGTTGTCAAGAATTGAACATTAAAAAAAAAAAAACTCATATGAAATTCTATGTTTGTTTAAATAAGCATTTGAGTTGTACTGATAAGTTACAGAAAGATTAGTGGTACTGTAACAAACTGAACTAACTGTTAATTGATCTGATAAGTTTCAAATAAAATAAAAAAAAAAAGATCGGGTTTCTCAAAAAATTTGGAAACTTGACATAAACGCGGAAGTTACAATGGCAAAAAAACCTTTAAAGGCAACACTTAGTTAAGTATCAAATCAGAAATATTGGACTGCAGAAAATGTTGTTGAAATTTGGAAATCACTATTAACAGCAGCCGTAAATATTGATGAATATATGGCAGGGCAAGTTTATGCCATATATTTGGTAGATCTAAAAAGCCAAAAATATGTTGAACCACGACAAGTATAGCAAAAAAAAAAACTTTTTTTTTTCTAAGTTTTTTTCTTTCTCTTCACCTTAAAAAAAAATTTAAGAACTAAAACTGTAGACAGCAGTAATGTTGGCAAATTACAGTCAACCTATCGTCAGTGAAAACAAAAATGACACTGTGAACAGCAGTAAGTTTTTAGGCTCTTTTAAAGAGAACCAAAGAAGAAATTTTTTTTTTTTTTTTTTTGTGTCCTTTTAAGAGAGACATAAAAATTACTGCAAAAATATTTTACGAAAAAAAAAAATTCTTCAGGTTTCTGTTGCCTTTTTTTGTTTTTGTTTTTGTTTCTAACTTTATTTAATCACGAGTAGTATTGGTTTCAATCATTTTTTCTTTAACAAAAA